ACACACACACACACACACACACACACACATACACACACATTTTGAAGTCCAACTTGAGTACTAATTTTATGTCCATAATGAAGATCCAAATATATTTTCAGTACTTTTATGTAATGTGCATGAAAGATGTCACATTTAATGACCTACCTGGAAATGGTTCTAGCTTTGCTTTTCATTGATGAGAATTTTCTCCTGTCAAACTCTCTTCTCACATTGTCTTGTATTTCTTCAGTCTTTCTCCAGGTATTGTCGTTTAAGATTGACCTTTTAAAGGTGGCTTTTTAAATCTGCAGCATTTGGCAGCTGGTAAGCATGATCCCATAAAATATAACAGTTAATATAGTTAATAGTAAATAACACTAATCAAGTGTAATCAATGCAGCAACACACAGTTAGCAACTGTCCATGTAACCACTATGACTGTGCCAGTTCTCACTTTTAAGGTCACCTGACCTAACTTTATAAAAGTACAAAAAGTTGCATTTGTACACAAATTATCTGTACCAAAGATATACTTCAGTCGGCCAATTTCTGATCAGATTGTGATGATGATGATATAACATCATCTGCCTGCAGTGCAGTGTACCAAAATTGCTGTTCAGTGAGGTTCTTTGTGGTGAAGTTTTCTTCTGCATTTTTTTTTTTCATTGCTAAGTGATGACTATGTAATACCAATAGATTATTGCACTTAAGTCTTAAGGTTATACTCGTGTTATAGGACCGGTCAGTTCTTGTGTACTTCTGGGACTCTTGACATCCCACCACTGCCTATACATTCATTTTTTTATTACCCCCTCCAAATAAAACAATTGGAAACAATGTTTGACTCTCACTGTGGCATATTTACTCAAACTCGCAGTTTACAAAACTAGTAAAACATTAACAAGTTTACTCAAATTCCCATTGTGAAAAAGCTTCTGATTTATGATTTGGAGGCAATACAGCAAATGAAAGATGGATTTTCTGATTATGTTTTTCAAGCACTAGACATAACTCTGGTCTTTCCTTGCTTGTGGTTCAGTGAATCCTGGCTGGATTGTAATGAACTTGCAGATTTAGAATCTGTGAGATTTCCCCTTTCAGAAGACATATTGGTTGTCTGCATACATGCTGTGAGGTGAGCAACTGAGACAAAGTTTTGCGTTGGAGCCATTGTGTGCAATTTCTTTACTTGCTGATTCAGCTACTTGTGGTTTTAACTGTTTTGTGGATGAAGAAATGTTTTTTTTCTAAGTTTTTCTAAACAATTCCAATGTTTCTGTGGATACCACACATGTCTATGTTTAAAATGCCATACATTGAATTAAAAGAAATAGAAAACAAAGTGGACTTCTGCCCTCCAATTGAGGGAACGTTCATGCAGCTGATCGTACATTTTTCTTCAGTACAGGTTGAGCCATGTAGGAACCACCTTGTTAAACATAGCTATATTAGAAAAAAAAAATACCAATGGAAGGTTATGGTATCTGGGCATTTTCCTCAATGATTACTGCAACCAAATTCTGCAAAAGGTGAAGGGACTGTATGGTTGAATGACTTCTCCACAATGGAGTCATATTTTGGCACATACAAAGTGACGTGATAGCACGTCTATACAATATACGTCATTGGGCATCACTCTCCTTAGCCTCCCTGGCAAAATCCATTCAGGGGTATTGGAGAAGTGAGTCCGATCGTTGGTCAAGCCTCAGATCCAGCAGGATCAATTGGGTTCCATCCTGGCAGTGGAAAACTGGACCAGCTCTTTACCCTCACCAGGATCCTTGAGTGGTCATGGGAGTTTGCCCATCCAGTCTTCATGTGTTTTGTGGACTTGGAGAAGGCTTTCAACCGTGTTCCTCAGGGTACACTGTGGGGGGTGCTCCGTGAGTATGGTACTGGGGACCCGTTTCTACAGGATGTTCAGTTCCTATACAAGTGGTGCAAGAGTTCGGCTCACATAGCTGGTAGTAAGTCGGACCTCTTCAGGGTGGGAGTTGGACTCTGCCAGGGCTGCCCGTTGTCATCAAATCTGTTTGTAACTTTTATGGACAGAATTTCTTGGTGCAACCAGGGGTTTGGGGGAGTACGTTTTGGTGTCTTCAGAATTCTGTCTCTGCTATTTTTGGGTGATGTGGTCCTATTGGCATCATCGTGCTGTGATCTCCAGCTCTCACTCGAGCAGTTCGCAGCTGAGTGTGAAGCGGCTGGAATGAGAATCAGCACCTCCAAATCTGAGGCCATGGTCCTCAGTTGGAAAATGTGAATTGCTCTCTTTGGGTCGAGGTTCTGCCTCAAGTGGAGCAGTTCAAGTATCTTGGGATTTTGTTCACGAGAGAGGGAAGAATGGAGTGTGAAATTGATAAGACGGATTGGTGCAGCATCTGTAGTATTGCGGACTCTGTACTGGTTTGTTGTGATGAAGATGGAGCTGAGCTGTAATGCTCTCTGTTAACCAGTTGGTCTATGCTCCTACCCTCACCTATGGTCATGAGCTCTGGGTGACAGAAAGAAAGAGACTGTGGATACAGGCGGTTGAAATGAGTTTCCTTCGCAGGATGGCTGGACTCTCCCTTAGAGATAGAGTGAGAAGTTCAGTTATCTGGGAGAGACTCGGAGTAGAACCGCTGCTCCTCCACATCGAGAGGAGCCAGTTGAGGTGGTTCAGGCATCTGTTAAGGATGCTGTCTACACTTTACTTGTGTGGGATGAGGATGCAGCTTCTCATACTCAAGCATCTTTATTTTTTTGCTCTTACGTTTGAACAACGACAATACAGTAGTACCCAGAATTCTTTGTGCACACATCTCTTAAAGTGACAGTACTTCTGTATTTACCATTCATTACATCTCCCCTCCATTAAAGAAGATATCTATATAACTACAGTAACTTATAGTTGTTGTTTTTTTCATTGTATATATTTTTCCATATACCATTTTTATAAATCAGATAGCTCACTAATAACAGGAATTTATTTTAACTGTAATTAACACTTTCCAGTCCATCATCTTCCTCCCTGAAAATGAACGAGAAAACACGGTCTCATGTCAATCATGTAACCCAATAACAAAGGTAAAGTCAAAGTAAATAAAGTCACAACACATGCAGTCGGTGCATATAAACCCGTACTGACCAAAAAGAACTGACCTCATAGCAGAAAGAAAATCTGCTTCTCATGTCAAACCTTATAAATACAATACAGACCTCGTAGCAGAAAGAAAACTCCCACTTCTGACACCATGTAATGTCTATACTTTACTTGTGTGACATAAATTCAATTCAATTCAATTCAAATATACTTTAATAATCCCAAAGGGAAATTATTTGTTGTTGTAACTTGTTATCCTCATTTCATTGAGATGTTATAGATGCTGATGGCTGTAGGCAGGAAGGATCTCTTGTAAAGGGCCATCCCACAGTGGATCCTAAGAAACTGGCTGCAGATATCGTCCGATCCGTCCACCCAGACTCGGCTGGCCTCTCGGATAAAGGATGAGGGTGCAGCTTCTCGTACTCAAGCGTCAATTTTTTTGCTCTTACGTTCGAACAACAATACAGTAGTACACAGAATCCTTTGTGCACACATCTCTTAAAGCGACTGTACTTCTGTATTTACCATTCATCACAGATGCCTCCTTAGGAAGGTGCTTTGGGCGTGTCTGACTAGGAGGAGACCCCGGGAAGACCCAGGACACGCTGGAGAGATGTCTCTTGGAACGCCTTGGAATCCTCCCAGAAGAGCTGGAAGAGGTGACTGTGGAAAGAGATGTCTGGGCCTCCCTGCTCAAGCTGCTGCCCCCACGACCTGACTTTGGAAAAAGCGGAAGATGATTGATGGATGTTTTTATTTGTTTAACTGTCTTGCACCATTGAAAGAAAGATGATTAAATTCAGTGGTATATCCCTGGTTAAATAAAGGTTTAATAAAAATAATAAACTAAACAAATAAATAAAAATTCTGATTTATGGCTTCTAATCCTCCAAGCTCGGAATAGATCATTTCTGGTTGAAACGGAAAGTGCGTGACGTCATTACGCACCAGACGCTGTCCTCTAGCACGTATTCAAATGTGATGGAGCTGACGCGCAGTGAGCGGACAGGAGGAGGGACGCATCAGACGGACTGTGAGTGAATCAGGGAGAAGGTCCTCGTCCTCTGCGGTGATTCGGTTCTTCTCCTGCGGGTTGTCGTCGTCGGTACCAGATGCTCTCTTCCGCCGGACCGGAGCCACTCAGCGTCACACCGTCCAAGCCGACCGGAACCTGAAGCCGAGGATGCAGGTGAAACACCAGATGTGCTCGGAGAGGAGCAGCAGCACGGACGACCCGGAGCAGGATGACAACGAGAAGAAGACCTCGTGCTTCTCCAACATCAAGATCTTCCTGGTGGCGGAGTGCGCGCTCATGTTGGCGCAGGGCACCGTGGGCGCGTATCTGGTGAGTGAGAGGATGGAGGTCTCAGCTGATGCTACGTCGTTCCCATCAGATCCCATCCTGATCCATGATCCATCCATCATCAGGCCTGCGCGCGGCTCGGAACATTTTCTGCCTTTTTAGACAGCCAGCAGGTGAAACGCAGCTCGGGAGGTTTAACTTCTCCAAGCTGCCCGCCACGTTCCGCACTCTTATTAAATATTGCAGGAGGCCCGTGACACTGCTGTACACAGGCCCGAGAGATGACGTGATCTCCACCACAGCAGAGACAAGTGGTCCATCATTAACACCACTGACCTGCCAGAGCTGGATCAATAACATCCTCACAGATGTTCAGGACTAGAACTGAGGAGTTAAACTGGTTTAACACATCCAGACAAAATCTCATTTAAATGGTGGTAAGGGTAAAAAAAAAAAAAAAGAACACAGATTCCCTCTGAGGTTCAGAATAAATAAATCATTGTGTATAAATTATCTGATTTATTGATTAAACTGTGTGATTAAAACTAATCTTGATTGGTGTCAGAAGATGAGCCTGGAGGTTGCTTTCGAAAACATGTTAAATATGTTTTTTAAAGCCTTTTTAAGCTCACTCTTTCTGAGGAGACTTGGAGTGGATCAGAGTTTAGATCTGACCATTAATGTGTGTGTGTGTGTGTGTGTGTGGGGGGGGGGGGGGGGGGTTCAGTGTGAAGTTTGTCATGAGGTGTTCAACACTGAAGCAGGTTCACTGTTTGACAATTAGCCAGAGCCGTGTTTTATTCATTCTGATGAATTCCATGTTCTGCAAGTTGCTCGGCTTTTAACTAAATTACTTTTTTTTTTTAAACAAACTAAATTACAAACTGCTCACATGCAGATAAACAGCTGATAAGTGTTTGATTTTAAAATTTTAACTAAGATAACAGTGAGATGGAGATTACAGATAAATGTCGTCTCACTGGCAAGAAATGAATCAATCTTGTCCTTTTTTATCTAATGCTTTGTTACTGCTTATTGGCTGTTTGTTGAGTGTTTATAACTTCATTAATAACTGCATTGTTAACTGTTTACTAATTTATTGCAACATATTTCTTCTGCTCTTTGAGACTAGAGTAGATTTCAGTGACTTGTAATTTAAGTAATCTGATGTGAGAAATCCAAGATTATGATGTTCTAAATGAGATGAGTCCTGGACTCAACACTCTGCCTTGGCCTTTAAGAAACTGTGACTTGCATCTTTTAAATTTGATCCACATCACAATAATTGTTACTTGCAGCTGTTCTTGTGATAAACACTAATTTAATTAGTCTTTGCAGCAGGATTGTGATTAAACGCATTACTAGCATCCATCCATCTATTTTCTTTACCCGCTTCTTCCATTTTGGGTTGTGGGAGTCACCGGTGCACATGTCCGGCAGTCGTTGTGTGTCATGCGGGGGACACTGTGGACAGGTCTCCAGTCCATCACAGGGACACATGGAGACAAACAACCATTCATTCTCTCACTAACATCTAGGGACAATTTAGAGTTACCAATCAGTCTAACATGCATGTTTTTGGTCTGTGGGAGGAAACCGGAGTACCCGGAGAAAACCCACTCATGCATGGAGAGAACATGCAAACTCCACCCAGAAAGGTCCTGGGCCAGGATTCAATCCGGCAACCTTCTTTCTGAAAGGTAGCAGCTCTACCAACTGAGCCACCTGTCCCACATTACCAGCATGAACAACTTAAGAAAGAACGTCACTGATCTCGCAGGAAATTGTTGTGCCAGAGTTTCAATACAAAGGAACATACACAAGGAATCACAAGATATAAAAATATAACAGAGAATATAAAAATACCAACTATTAAGTTCTAAAACAGGTCAGGTGCAGACAGAAGTATTAGTTTATGTTGGTGCAGGATTAATTTTATTGTTGTATGTGTAGAAAGGGGGAGGAGTTAAAAAGTTTGATAGCCACAGGGAGGAAGGACTTCCTGTGTTGTTCTGTGGAGCACCTCGGTGGTCTCAGTCTACGACTGAAGGTGCTGCAGTAAAACTTAAATAAAATAATGTAAAACTTAAATAAAAGAATGAGATTATCATGAGTAAGTGTAGGTTTTTCTGATCTGGCTTGAACGTCTCTTTTAACCAACCCTCGCCCACATGTGTCAGTGTTTGTTGTGGGACTGGAACAGCTGAATGTCATCATGAGCACATTTCCTGTTTTCTGCCTGGCGTCAGGCTAGTTTCAGGTCACGAGATGCAGAAGACATGTTATTTTCTGTTTAACGTGTAATGCTTAAAGTTCTTGGTATTGAGTTGATCATTTTAATAGATTTGAATTATTATTCCCACTACAGCCGTCCCTGCAGTAGATAAAGCAGAAGCACCCATTGTTTTCGTTGTAACTCTTGTTTTGCTCTCCTATCCGTGTCTTTGACTGTCAGGTCAGTGTCCTCACCACTCTGGAGAGACGTTTCAACCTCCAGAGTGCCGACGTGGGCGTCATCGCCAGCAGCTTTGAAATCGGCAACCTAGCCCTCATTCTGTTTGTCAGCTACTTTGGCGCCAAGGCCCACCGGCCCCGCCTGATTGGCTGCGGTGGGATTGTCATGGCGTTGGGGGCCTTGCTGTCAGCGCTGCCGGAGTTTCTGACTCACCAGTACGAGTACGAGGCAGGGGACTCGTGGCACGCTGAGGACGGCAGGGACATCTGCTCCAACAGGTCCAGGCCGGAAAATCGAGACTCTGGGTTCAACTGCAGCAACCGAGCCAACACCAACATGATGTACCTTCTGCTGATAGGAGCCCAGGTTCTGCTCGGCATCGGGGCCACACCTGTCCAGCCTCTGGGAGTGTCCTATATCGATGACCATGTCCACAAGAAGGACTCTTCACTGTATATAGGTGAGTCATGCAAACATGCTGAACAGAAAGAAAGATGGTGACTGGTCACATTTATTGTTCAGGGTAGATAAAAGCTCAGTTTTCTGTTTACAGCCTCAGCAGACAGCTCAAGTTTAATAAAGCATGGTCCCAGTAGAGGATTTAATGGGCATCTTAACTAAATAACCATTTTACAACTTAAGTTTAGAGTCTCAGTTTTTAACTTCAAGTGTTCTTCAGCCCTGTGTGGTGATCATTTCAATCAATTTATTTTGGAACAGACAATGTAGAGCATTATTTAGATGAAAATACCTCAGTTCTGTAGTTCTCATTGAGATGGAGTAGAGGGTCATGTGTTAAAGTAAATATAGTAGCAGCATTGGAAGATGAGTTCTTAAATTATCATGAGGAACATATCTGCAGATGGCCATTATTGTGGCTTTATGATAGAGTTTAAGATCTTATTCAAAATTCTTATTTTATTTTTATTTTTAATATATAAAATGTCATTTTGTGCCCGCACACACAAAATTCTCGGTTTTATGCATTCAGATTCGAGCAAACTCCAAAATGTTAGACATATGGATCATTGTAAGAAAAAAAAAGGACATCAGTAAGTTCAAATGGACAACAAATTTCAAAGAAACATAATTTTTAGCTAGATGAAAAACTTTTTTTTCCTGTCACGACTGGAGTTTAAAAGTTTTTATCAGATGTAAAAAAACATAACCTACACTTCTAACCTACAAAGCTTTTTTATTTATATATTATTTATACTTTATTTATAAAACCCTTTAAAAAAAACACAGCTGCCACAAAGTGCTGTACATATAAAATCAAGAACATTAAACGCATAAAACAGTTGTTAAAACATTAAGATCAATAAAAAATAATAAAAACAGTGCAGAGCAAAATTCAGTGTGTGCTAAAAGCCAGTGAGCAAAAATGTGTTTTTAAAAGAGTTTTAAAACTGGACAGTGAAGGGGCTCGTCTGATGGGAAGAGGGAGATCGTTCCACAGTCTTGGAGCAGCAACAGAAAAAGCTCTGTCCCCTCTGAGCCTCCGTTTAGACCTGGGCACCTCCAGGAGCAGCTAATCAGCTGATCTGAGGCATCGAGCAGGAGAGTATGGGTGAAGCAGCTCAGAGAGGTAGGATGGGGCAAGACCATTTAAACTTTTAAAAACAAATAAAAGAATCTTAAAATGAACTCTAAAATGAACAGGCAGCCAGTGGAGTGAAGCCAGAGTGGGGGTGATGTGCTCCCTCTTTTGAACTCCAGTTAGAAGCCGAGCAGCAGCGTTCTGGACCAAATGGAGACGTCTGAGGGAGGACTGGCTGACTCCAAGGTAAAGAGCGTTACAGTAATCCAGCCGAGAGGTGACGAAGGCATGGATTACTGTTTCCAGCTGCTGTTTTGTGAGGATGGGCTTTACCATAGCCAGCTGTCTGAGGTGATAAAAACTGGTCTTGACCACCGCTCCAATCTGGGACTCTAATTTAAAATCACTGTCCATTTTAAAACTCAAGTTAGAAACAGTTTTCTTTACATGTGGTGCCAGAGGGCCCAGATCAGTAGGGCAAGGTTCACAAGAGCCGATAGGACCAAACACCATCACTTCTGTTTTCTTTTCATTGAAATTTAATACGTTTAAAGACATCCAGGCTTTGTTGTCTTCAAGACACAACAGAAGTGGCCTGATTGAGGGGGCATCTTTCTTTTTTAGTGGCATATAGATCTGACTATCGTCAGCGTAACAGTGAAAAAAGATCCCATGCTTTCTAAGGATTGATCCCAAAGAAAGTTCTCAACAACCTAGTTCCATCTTATTTTACAGGTCTTATTGTTCCATATTTTCCTAACAGAGCAATTTACTCTCAGACTGCAGGCTTACTCGCGGTTCCTAGAGTTTTCAAAAGCAGAATGGGAGGAAGATCTTTCAGTTATCAGGCTCCTCTCTTGTGGAACCAGTTTCCAGTTTCTGTCCGAAAGGCTGACACATTGTCCAGTTTTAAGACTGGACTTAAGACTTTCCTTTTTGATCAATCCTATAGTTAGGGTCGGCTTGTTATGCT